AGGGCCCCCCCCCCCGCCTGGCCAGCCAGCTGCCCCTTCCCTGGCAGTACTGGGCAAAGGATCCCAGGGAAAACTACCACCTGGGTCTTCCCACCACCTGGGTCTGCCATGCATGGCCCAGAATCTGGGGGTGCCCCCCATAAGAGCTAGAGGGCCTGAAACTTGCTAGGAGGGAGGCTGTGGTCAGAGCAAAGAAGGACGGAGACCAGGAGGCGGGAAGAACAGAAATGGACCAAAACAAAGAGGGAAAGGAGCATGAAACAGGAAGGGAGAAAAGGAGAAGAGACATAAAGAATAACTGTGCAAGAAGCGGAGGAGGCAGCTGGCCTGGAGGTGCTGGGGCCCAGGACCTAGCCCATGATGGAAGGCCTGGCCCAGCCCCCAGTGTGGTGCAGCTGCTTCACTCAGGGCCCTACCATGAGGTCAGTCCTACCCTGGGGCTGTGGGAAAATAAATGGTGTCCAAGATAAAAGGTCCAAGAAATTATTCGTCTTGTTGTCATGTCCTGATGGCAATGGGCAGGGGCCGATAGGGCACCATCCCAGAAAGGCGAAGCTGGCAGGCTCTGCACACATGCAGGCCCCTGCCCCCAGCCCACTACCTCTAGAACCTGGACCCAAAGAGGCAGAAGGCTGGGGATGGGTGCATCTCAGAGATGGGCATGGACGAGGAGGTCTCCTGGTAGTCCTGGGTCTTTCCTGTCTGGCAATTTTAAAGAGGCTGTTTGGGTTTTTTGTTTTTGTTTTGTTTCTTCCCCCCTCCCCCAAGACAGGGCTTCTCTGTGTAACCCTGGCTGTCCTGGAACTCACTCTGTAGACCAGGCTGGCCTGGAACTTGGAAATCCACCTGCCTCTGCCTCCTAAGTGTTGGGATTAAAGGCATGCACCATTGCCTCCTGGCCCTGTCTAGTGATTTTTAAATAAAATATCTGCATGTTTAGTGTTTGCCCAGCATCTGTCTTGGCTGAATCCTCTCCAAAGTGCTGAGGAGGTAGAGTTTTGTCTGCTCTGTTCACTGTCCAGGGTATTCGTGGACTGGGGGCTCAGGAGGAAAAAAAAATCTCGGTGTCCCTCTTCTGACTTCTGCAGCAGAGGAAGGCTGTGTCTCTCAGCACCACTGCCCCCAGGAACTGTTTCAAGAGAAGGTCACAGGGACCATAGCCCAAGCTGTTGTAAGTACCCATGTCTTATAGATGTACAGGGTCAAGCTTAAACACACATGTACATTTGCATACACACATGCACATTTGCATACACACAGAGACACACACTCCCACAAGCATTCATGAAGATGACTCCCATGGCTACTAGAACATCCAGAGAGCATGACCACAGGCTTCCACCCCTCCAAGCAGCTGAACCTGGGTGGGAGGGAGCTGTGGTGCAGGGAGCAGCCTCAGACAATTGGACACTCCCCACCAAGCCACCATGTAAAGGGACATGTTTTATTCACATCAGTGAGCTTCTGAAGGACTCACTAATACCTGAGAAACTGAGGCCCAGGAGGGCTAGCACTAGGTCCAAGACCCTGCACCCAGCACAATACAGAGCAGGGATTTGAATGGGGGCTCTCCAAGGCTGGGAAGAGTGTGTGCAAGGGATATGGATAGGGCCTGGAACATACCATACTTGTCCCCGTCCTCGCCACGGGCACTGATCCTACGGCCCAAGACTTGAATGTGCTTTCCACTGGTCCTGCTGTAGAGCTGGTACAAGCGCAGCTGCTTCCGACTCACGTCATCGCGAGCCCGCGTCTGGTTCTCCACATGGATACGGAAGTCCACGTTCTCCTCGGCTGCCAACACCTATGCAAAGGGAAGAAAACTGGTGAACCAGCCAAATCTCTCCTCTATGCCACCTCTGGCCAGGCCCCATTTCACAGACAAGACAACTGAGCTGAGGCAGCTGGGAAACAATAAAGCTGAGGATCCGGCCTGGGTATATAGATCCTCCCACCCGCCGACACATGGTGTCTTCTGTGACTTCGGCATGCAGGTTACTCTGCTTCTGATCCCCTTTTAGTATAGAGGACCCTATTCCAATGGCATCTGGAACTGTGAGGAGTGTCTGAGCAACTAGGAAGAGAACTAACGTCCACAGGGCTTTGGGGAGAAGTTGGAGGGACACATGGCAGGGAAGGGATAGGATGAGCAATCTCAAGTACTGGACACTGGGTCAGAGGGACCCCTCCCACTCACTCGACGGTACTGGCACTCATCCCAGGCCCCTACTTGTAGCATCTTCCAATGTATATCCCCCATGGTAACTCCATGGACCTCTTGCCATTTAGTTGTCATCAGCCACACCCTCCAGGAAGCCTTAGGGTGCACCCACACTCACTGCTCCCAGCCCTCTTCAATAACACAGCCCCTCACCTGAACAGCATGTACCCATCTCCTTCTCAGGCTAGTCCATTTTTGTCCTGCTAATGACCCATCCTCCACCAAACAAAGCCCTCCTGTAGAATCCTCCCTGTCCACACTCCTCAGGGCTTCCTCACACTCAGAGGTCCTTACTGAGGCTTCTAGCCTCAGCTGTCCTCCCCTGATGCTTTCTCTCCTCTTCTCCTCCTGTTACTGCCATGCCAGCCATACCACCTCACCTTTAAAGTCTTTGAAACCTTCCTCATACTTAGCACACACTGGTCTCAGGCCCTTTGCACACCCTCTCACTTCTGCTTTCAGGCTTTCTCAGTTCTCTGCACTCATTTCTCTCAGGTGTCTGCCCTGATGTCACCTCAAACAGACCTCCTTGATTGGCCTACCCCTGCCATTCTCCATGCCACCACTCTGCTATGAGATTCTTTCTAGTACATGTGACTCAACATACCATTGACCTACTAGCTTTTGTCCATCTGCTCTGACTACATGGCTGGCACTATGAAAGCCAGAGTTCTCTCTCTTCTGTGCTACTAGCCCTGCAGCCCCAGGACAGACACCCGAGCACTTATTCAGCAAATAAGTAAACGAAAGACTGAATTAAGTTTTATTCACCTCTACCTGCTAGTTAGATGCATGGCCCATCACAATTTAAAAATCAGAACAAGTCCTGAAGCATGGGTTAGAATTATGACAATTTGTCCTGCCTGCAAGATGTGCTGGGGTAATGGTTAGAATATGGGTTTGTTCTGTGGACCCCCTGCCCCAAGACTGACACAATGCTAACACACAAGACCCTATTTCCAGAAAAGTATTGCTCACCCAACCATTGCTAGAGTCTTCTGGACCCTGGCAGCCCAAGCATAGGGTCAGCCTTAACTATGAGACTCTCTGCGACTCTGTTTCTTTACAATGAAATGATGAAGACAGTACCCACCTCGGGGATTGCTATGAAGACTAAATACAAAAGGCAGTTAACTTCCACATTTGAGCAAACGCCAGAACTTTTGACAAGTCGAGGTTCACCAATGTTCATTCTGTAACCACGATGTGCCTCCCTTCATTTCCCCCAGCCACGACGACCAACCCACAGTACCAGGCACTGCCTCTCCTCCCACCCTGACACCCACACCTGCAGGGCATTTTTCGGGACGACCCCACACTCGGGGCCATTGACCTTTCTGGAATGATTCCTGGAGTCAGGTTAGTCTTGTCCCCTCCCCCGAAAGTAGGCACAGTATCCCTTTCCTCAAACACCCCTCCTCTCACAGGAGACCCTATCGACTAGAGGTCAGCTAGTCTCCTCACCCCTGGATCCCAAGGGGTGCTTCCCTAGCCCAGAAGCTGCCCTTCTATTAATGATTTTCTTCCTGGCCCGCTGGACAGAAACAGCAGAGTGACCCAGGGTCAGCAAGATCTATTGGGTGGCCCTGCACCAGGATGTGGGGGGCACA